ACAACATTAATACTATGATATTTACATATTTAATGATGTTCTGAATGAAAAATAAACAAAGTCAGAGAGACTTACCTTGAACCTGGAGCGTGGGCTTGGAGCTTTAAGCTGCTATCTTTGGATGTTCTGGAATCAGCAAGAGTAACGGAAATGCCAAGTTCTTTGATTCAAAGGGAAGAACAAAGTTTTGATTTTCTGTTTGGGATTTCTGGATTTTTATGAAGGGTTTCACAGGTTTCTTTTTCTCTTTTGATAGTTCTCTCCTTCCAAAAGCCATCCTCTTGAACGTGTGATGGAGCAAAGTATTTATAGGTGAATTTGTTGTGATTTTGGGGAAAAGACAAATGGGATTTTAAATCAATTTGGCATCCTGCTCCCTTGCTTTTTCATCACTATTTTTGTATGCTAGTTTGGTGTAATTATGGGATGCAGGCGTAGGCCGAACTAGCTGGTGATTAGCAGCTTTTAACCATGCCTAAGCTGGATTTGTCAGCAGAATTTAAGGAAAAGCAAAAGGCAAAGCATGGGCCTAGTATCAGAGTTTGCTATCCCAAAATAGTAGAGGTACACGTGGTGGAAATCCTTTGGATAAAGACTCAAAAGTGGTTGTGAGCATTAAATGAGCATTAAATGATGATGAGACTTATCACAACCAGAAATCCTGCAACGTGAGATTCTACACCAAGGCTTAGTTCTAGATCAGAAGTTATGTTTCAGCGTAGTATTCAACCTTTGATCTTTGTATCTTCTGACTCTAGCATGTTCTGAAGGAGCTTTCAGACTTTCTAGAAAGCTTGCAGCACGCTTTTTAACCTTCTTTGAATTACCCTGGCAAACTCTGACTGAAGCTTTTGTGAAAACTTGCCCAGAAGTTCTGACCAAACTCTGCCTTGAGAGTGTCCAGAATTTGCTGAGTGTTATGGTGATAATCTGGTCAGAAGTTCTGAGTTTTGTCATGCTTCTTAAACACTTAGAAAAATTTCTAAATATTTAGAATTTGACTTTTCCAAAGTAAAATTTGACTTTTGAAATTCTTGATGAAACACACTTCATATTCCAACATGTCTTGATGAAATATGATTTTTGAGATTTGATTTTGATCCAATAAGTCAAAGTTAGACTTCTTAGTATGCAAATGACCATTTTGCCCTTATAAATGACTTGCTTGGAAAAATTTGTAGTTCAAGGCTTGGAATTGGATGGAAGCAAACTTGAGGATCTAGGGTGATTCCTTGAGAAATGAGAGGGAAAATTTTGGGGTACAATACCCTAGTTCGACTTATAGCATGTTTGTATTGACTTTTGGAAGATTCTGAATCAATTCTAGAGGTGTAGAATTGATTGTGGATGATTTTGAAGTGTTTGTTTTATCAAAAATAGAATTGATTCTGCCTCCAGAATTGATTCTACATGAAACTAAAAATTTATAGCTTTACCTCCATAATTGATTATGAGTGATTTTCACACTGAAATTTATTGTTCAACTCACTTTTACATAAATATATCAAAACATAAATCAATTCTGCTAAACTCAATTATGTTAAAATCAATTATATCAAACTCAATTCTGCTAAAATCAATTATGTTCACCATCCTTTCAAACACACATTTAGTATAGGATGGATGTGTAAAAAGTTTGAATTGAAAGAGAGGTAACTCAACATACCTAACGCCTTAAGATTTTGGTTGGAGACTCCTTAATAAATTATATGATCTTAAATCATTTGACATGTTTCCCAACTTTCCCATACTTCTCAACAAATGGTATGGGATAGAATATTGGGTTTAAATGTTAGTGGTTAAGTATCATATCAACAATGAATGAATAAAATATTGAATAAATCATAGAAGTAATTCATATACTTAATTTCTTAAGGTTTTTGGTGAAGATGTGATGCCTCCCTCTCTTGTGGTCCTAGAACATACTGCTCGTTCTTTCTCTCAACTTCACCGCACCCCCTCACAAGTTGTACTAGTTGCTTGGAAAAACCTAAGTACAAAGAAAATAAAAGAGCACAATCACACCATATCGAGATAACTTGTAGACTCTAAATAGGAGGGGAAAAAACTTCAATCATGGTCAATCTCAACACAAGTATTTAACGTGAAAACTTAAAAAAAAAACATAGTTTTTTATCAAATGACAGCTAAAAATTAATAGAGAGAGAGAGATATAGAAAGAGATATTTGACCGAATTTTATAGACAAAGATTATATTATTGGCTTGCAATTTATCTTCTCTTTTCTTTTGTGTAGTAATTGTTATACTAACAAAATTTTGTTTTAAAATGTCTTTTTGATTGCTTTAGGAAAGTTTGTCTAATATTTTCTCTATTTGCTTGCCTTCAATTTTATACGAAAGTTTCAAGAGAAGATTCTCAAGTTTATTCCATATCATCGGGACTATAGAACATAAGGTACCCTGCTCGAATAAAATTATATAATTAAAATTGTGCAAACATAAAAAAATCTTGACATCACAATCACAAATATAACCTTAATTTGTGGCGTGACTCCAAAGTTATTAATATTGTGGTTTCAATTACTGTTACAACTATCTTTGTTAAAATCACAATCATTCATTATCAACTTCACTTAACTTAATTGAAGATAAATAAAATTTATATGGTCGACAAATGGCAACACAATACTAGAAAAAGGAATAAGTACAATGAAGCATAATGTGTTACATTTTCCTATTCTTTTGGTTGAAGCCTTAAGTGATCGAATATGAAAATTGAGAGGCAGCATTTTTCAACTACACACCAAACTCTATCACCTAAAACGAATCCATAAAATGAAGATAGAAAAAAAAACAAACAAACTTTCCCCATTAAATGATCTTTTTATAGATATTAGCATTATTAGTACACCTCCATGTGACAAAAATAAATAAATTAGGGGACATGCGGATTGCCCTAAAGATTTTTCTTACTGTGAGATGATATGGTGAGAGAATCTGTGCTTTAAGGACATAAAAACAAGGTTCTTAAAGGTAGCACATGATGTTAGGGACCAAATGATGCATGTGATGGTGTTGAAAGTTTCGTTTCACTACTAGTGTCATCCAAACCATCAACACAAAAATAAGCTAATGTATGGATGCCCAAACTCCACGATTAGCCATTGTCTTCCCCTCTTCAAGAATTTTTTCACACCCAACTTCATCTCTAAACACCTTATAATAATGTCACATCAACACAACTAGGATATCTACTCACTTTCATGATATAATAATATCTTGCTTAAGAATATTTTTTTAATCCATATTGATTTGGTCCTTTGGCTCCCCTATGACCTAAGGGTATCATAATCTTAAATCATTTGAATAGGCTACGAGACTTTTCAAGTTTATTCTGTCATTTTAAATAAATCTCAACTGATTTAAATATTTGCGAATCATCTGTTCAAAATTTAGTTACATTTAAAATTATTTGTCGTGTTCATCTCTTTTTTCTATAATAGTCACATTTAAACTCTAAATCTTAAAGTCTCGATTCACCTAATTGATATAATTATGTGTTTTGTTAGAATTGATTTTTAGTCGTTTCACTCTCAAATGTATTACCGAAGGTGTCGCGCTCATTCAATAAGGTAAAACTCCTTTAATAAAGAAAGGATAATAGGGTCCATTGTTAAAATTTACAATGTGTTGATAACATGATGATGGACTGACTAGAGAGAAGTGGCAAATGGTATCACATGGGTGAGAAACACTATACATGATGAAGTCAGTCATGTTATACAGCTTAGGGGTCCCTCCAATTCCATGCCTCCTTTTTGATAGTTACCAAGCATTGGTACTAAAAACCGTACAACACAACTTGTTTTAGGCTTTCTATTGAGGGAGAGGGTATACGTGCAACAATTTCATTTCAATTCCCTTCATTGATTTATTACTACATTAAGTAGACATGCACTTTTTATCTCATCCCTCACTCACTCTTAACCCTAACACTTCCCATGAGCTTGCAAGATTCCATGCCCACCCATGTTGCTCTAACTGACTTACATCCTATCTCATCTCAATAATGATTGATAGTTTTTCTTTTGAGATTAGAAACTTAAAAAACAAAGATTTTTGATGGTCGAGTTTATATTACAGTCGACAATAGATAGTTAGATTCTAAAATAATTTGTTACAGTTGACGGTCTACTGTTGACTGTATCATAACGTCAACGGGAAAACATTCAACTTAAAAGACTATCTTCTTTGATATAACTTAGGAAAAAACATGGAATTGAATCTCAAACATTGATTTGGTTTAATAACTAAGAGGATACATTGGTTTGTTTTCCTAATGAAAACAAAAAATGAGTGAAGTTAGAGACACACGTGAGCCTAATAGTATACTAAAGATTGAAAGGGTATTCTACCACAAGTATTGTCAACATAACAAAATCTTATCATTAGAAAGAAATGGGAATACATCACTCTTTATATAATATATTGATTTTTACATGGGAAAAGAAAAAAATTAGACAAGAACCATAACAAAATATGATAAAAAAACATATATAGTTAATTAAGGTTTTGGGTCCACCTTTGAGTTGGTATAGTATACCCCATTACTAGCTTTTTCTCCTTCCTTTTTCCTTGTACATTTTTTTAAAAAGTTTGTTCTATGGATTAGAATTAGTTGTACTCCTTTACTTCACATGTTCATTTTACTTTTTATTTTATTTTTAAATAATAGAATTCATGAAAAAATGTTGACAAACAACTAATAGTGTTACTCAAATAAGGTTTTTCTAATAGAAAACACAAAATCCAACAAATAAAAAGAACAAAACTCTAAAGAGAGAGAAAGAGACTAACAACATGAAGAAGTGGGCATAGATATAGAAGGACAATGTGCAAATATAACTAAAAACTATAATAACTAACTTGTATTAGGACAATGAGAAATAAGCACCAATCATAAGTGGTGAAATCCTAAAAGGAAAATGAAGCATGAGAGAGAGATGGATAATAGTACTAAAATACAAACAAAATATATTCAAAGACATAGAGAAATAGTAGTTGAAATCTCAAAGTAGCCATCACCAAAAAAATCTCTATTCCCACTTTCTTTGCATCTTCTTGGTCTTCCAAACTTTGTCACACCCATTTCATCTTCAACCTTCTCAACACACTCTTCTTCTTCACTCACTTCATCATAGACCTCATGTTGCTTTTCACTTTCACCCTCTTTTTCTTCTTGATCTTCAACCTCCTCCTCCTCCTCTTCTTCTTCTTCTTCTTCATAATCTTCATCATCTCCATCATAATCATAAACAGTCTCAACTAGACTCAACCTAAGCCTACCATCACAACGTTCTGCATGAAAATAAGGAGTAATAGAAGGAGAAGCAATAGCTTCTAATATCAACCTACCGCCTTCGCGGTGAGGCCTAACATGAACACCACCAAAATCAGTTATTGAAGTGAGTGGTGGTGGAAAATTACTAGCTCTATTAACTCTTCTAGACACACCCTTGTTCGTGCTATTGTTGTTGCTCTTGTTCTTATTGTTATTGTTATTGTTACTGTTGTTAAGATCGTTTCTTGCGTCATAAGAAAGCAATGAAAGATCGTCACTACTTTCACCAGCATTGCTACCGGTTTCGCTACCAAGGCTTTCGGTGCACATTTCTAAGCTTTTTTCACTTAGCATTGAAGCAGAACGTTTCACAGTAGGATGAACATAAACTTTGTCATTTCCATTTTCAGTTTTAGTGAGATTTTGAAGGAAACTCCAGCTAGATTTTGAGTCGTTTTTGTTGATGATGATAGGTTTCTCTTGGTCTAAAGAAGATGAAATGTTTGATACTGGTGGAGCCAATTTGAGAGTAAGTACACGTGGCTCCATCACACCTTGTTCAAGACAAGATTGAAACCCTTGACACAAGGAAGAAGACATTTTTGTCTTATCCAAAAGGTAAAATGTTTTGAAAAACAGAGCAAAATTAAAACAGAGTATTTTTGTTTATGAGTTGGGAGAGTTTTGGTTATTGGTTTTGTTTGGTGATTGAGATGAGGTTGAAGATTAGGTTTGTTAGGGTGAGAGAGAAAAAGAAGAGGTTAGAGAAGTGAGGAATGGAGTGAAATGGGTGGGTCTAATATATAGTTGGGGGAAATGGTGTGAAGCTACTAACCTTTGTAACTTTATTGTGTCTAGTGGGGAGAGGGTCCCTATTCCCTAACAATAGGGAAGGTGGTGGTAAAAAATAGCATAACTTTTTTCTTATTTTTTCTATGTTTGGTACCATTTCAAACTTTCTTTTTAATTCTTATTAATTTTAGTTTCATACATGTTACTCCAAATCATTCTTACAAAATTTCAACCATGTGTTTTAAAGATATAAAACTAAGTTTTTATCACTAGAAAGAAACCCTAGGATCAGACTCTGAATTCCCTGAAGTTAAATCACTACGCATTCACGTATTTAATTGTATTTGATCGTCTGATCTTAATCGAATAATTCTGATTTAAACTGATAATTTTGTAATAATTAAATCTGTTTTTTCTGAGCCTTATAATCAAGATCAAACGGTTAATAAATGTTTAACAGCGTGAATTTGGTAATTATCTAATTGCAGGAGATTCAATTTTTTCAATATCAATAAAAATGTGTCGAAGACGGACTAAGATATTTAGTTTTCAATTTAACTGTGATTGATTTGATTTAACAGTAGTGAGATCTGAAAAATTTTAAGACGATTCTCGTGTTAATCTAACCAACAAAATAATATATTCATGATTGTTTTAATCTAACCTCAATTATAATCTTAAATATATTAATATTTTTTAATAAAATAATTGTAGTGATAGATTTTATCATTATGGTACAAGTCAAATATTAACAAAGCTTTGGGTTGTTATTTATTTATTTGATTTATGAGTATAAAAAATATTATTAGTAGAAAGTTGAATTGGACATGTAATTCCCAGTGGTAATGTCAGTAATAGAATTTGAGGGATTTCCGTACATATGCTCTGTTAAAGTCCATTGCAGCATCAGCATGGTTAATTCAATTATTCTAAATAACAATGTTTCCAATTGTTAATCATTCAATGATGATGGAATCATTTTTTATTTTTAAATATCAAATATGCATGGAATTTTGGTTAGTTTTATATTTTTATTAACTATTATTAGAGTTTCTTGAGTTAAATATGGTTGGAAAAAAGTACTTTTGAAAATTAGATCAAACTAAATAATTTTCACATTAATATTGTCAATGGCATTTTGGGAGGAGAAAAGAATACCTGTTTTTATTTTTTAAATTAAATACACTCTACAATATTATATATTATGAATATGATATTATTTTAAAAAGATCAATATTATAATATATCCTAAACGCACAAGTTAAATAATATATTTGTAAAATTATTATCTTAAAATGTGTGCATTTGTTTTTTTTTAATTATAATATTGTTTTTGTGTAAGTCAATTTTCTATTTTTAGTATTTTTTTTTGTGGAATGGAGGGCCAGAGGTCCAAGAAAGAAAAATTACAATGAAGATAACTTCGGAGACAAAACACCTAAAGTGTCGCTAGAAAGCAAATGGAAAATAAATATTGAAAAATCTTCCTTAAACAAAATAGCACCACCACTAGTAATTTCAAACTTAACTAAAGCATCCGCACAGAAGTTGGCTTCACAGTAACAATGTGAAACTTTCACCTCTCCAATGCTCTGCATTAGATTAGAGATATGTCTTACCATTGATACAATATTCATATTTGTTGCTCTGCCCGTATTGATCATATCAGCAACAATATTAGAATCCACATTAACATAAACTTCCGTTAATTCTAACTCATATATAATCTTAAGGCCTTCGGAGACACCCCACAACTCTGTCTTAATAACATTGTAGAGACCCAAGCATTTAGAAAAATCTCCCAAACAATCACCGTTAATGTTCCTAACAATACCACCAAAAGCGGCAACTGAATTATTTACTCGCGCACCGTCAGTATTAAGCTTAACCCACCCCGGATCCGATGGTTTCCAACCCACATTAATCACACTTCTCTCGCGAGGATCCACTACCTTATCAATCTTCGAGGCATTCATATAATCATGAACTCTTTGTTGAATATACAAATCTGGCATTGACGGTCTATTATACTCAATCTCATGGTATTCTTTGTTCCTCCAAGTCCATAGACTATGACACCCTATGTACCAGTAGCTAGTCCACTTTGTGTTAGCATTAAGATTACCGTTAATTCACTCATGCAGATCTGCACCATAGAAGACATTAATGATACTGCCCCAAATTTGCATTACTACATTACAATCCCTCAAGGCATGCAACGTAGTTTCCATTACACATCCACACAGTTGGCAATTAGCACTACCAAGACCTTTAGAACTCAAGAAAATTGAATGCAATACAATCATACAGTTGGCAATTAGCACTACCAAGACCTTTAGAACTCAAGAAAATTGAATGCAATACAATCATTTAGTATCTTTAATTTGTGTTCTTTTAGTACACATTAGCAAGACTCTTTTAAAAAATTATCTACTTTAAAAATATTCTCTCAAATATATATGAGAAATTTAAATTACATATTTAATTAAAAATTATGAAAATTAATTTAAATTTGTTGCATAATAAATTTCTAAGAAATTCATATGTCCACATGAAAAACTACATCAATGCTTTTCTTTGGGAGATGTTTGAAAGTGTGCACACATACATACAGGAAACATTATATTAGATCTAGATACAGTTAAATATAATATTGAGTCTATCATACCTCGATATTTTCTTTCATCGACTGGTTTTCCATTCTCATCTATGTCTAGGGAACAAGACGCTGACATTGGTGTTGCTAGTATTTTTTATTTTTCCATGTCAAACCTTTTAAGTAATTATTTGTAGTATTTAGCCTGGTTTATGAAATTACATCCTCTGGTTTGATAAATTTGAAGTCCTAGAAAATACTATAATTCTCCCATCATAGACATTTCAAACGCATTCAATATTGTTTCAGAAAATTCATTGCACAAGGATTTGTTAGTAGCACCGAAAATGATATCATCAATATATATTTGTACTAGTAAGATGTCATGTTCAGTTTTCTTAATGAAAATAGTTTTATCAACTTGTCTCGTTCAAATTTATTTGAAGTAAAAACTTACATAGGCGATCATACCATGCTCTAGGAGCTTGTTTTAGGTCATATAGTGCCTTCTTAAATTTAAATAGGTGATCTAGAAAGGTAGGATTAATAAATCCATGAAGCTGGTCTACAAATACCTCATCTTGAATATATCCATTTAAGAAGGCGTTTTTTACATCCATTTGAAATAGTTTAAAACTTATGATGTATGAAAAAGCTAATAACATTCTTATGGCTTCCATTCTGGCTATAGGAGCATATGTTTCATCAAAATATATCCCCTCCTATTGATTATATCCTTTCGCAACTAGCCTAGATTTATTTCTTAAAACATTTTCTTCTTCATCTAGCTTGTTGCAAAAGATCCATCAGGTTCCAATTACCAGATTGACTGAATCTTTGGGAACAAGTTCTTAAACGTTGTTTCACTTAAATTGATTTAACTCTTCTTGCATAGCAAGATACCAATTCTCATCGGTGATAGCATCATCGAATTTCTTTGGCTCAATTTTTAAAACAAAAGCAAAAAAATTACATACCTTGTTAAGTGATTGTCTGGAGGTCACTCATTTGGAGATATCTCCAATCATATTTTGTACTGGATGATCTTTTATTAGCCTCCATTATTTTTGAAGATTTTGAATATCTGGTTGAGTAAGCATATTTGGTTTTTGATTTGAGTCTTCAATTAAAACTTCATCATTATTTTCATTCTTGATTGATTTTGAAGTATCTTCAAGAGTACCTGTACATTCAACAACTTCTATTTCTACAATTTTGGGGTTAGTTTCATCAAAGGTAACATGAATTGAATCTTCGATTATTCTGTTTTTTGGGTTATAAATTCTAAAGGCTTTGCTCGAAGTGGAATATCCTATGAATATGCCTTCATAAGCTTTTGCATCAAATTTTCCTAAGTTACCCTTTCTGTTATTATGGATATAACATTTACATCCAAAAACATGAAAATGAAAGATGTCCGGCTTTCTCCCCTTATATAATTCATAGGGTGTTCACTTTAGAATAGGTCGTACCAAGACAGGATTCATTACATAGAAAGTTGTGTTAACAACATCAACCCATAAGTATTTTGGAAGGTTTATCTCATTGAGCATCGTCCTCGCAAGATCTATTAGAGATCTATTATTCCTTTATGTTACTCCATTTTGTTGGAGAATTCTACCAATGGAAAAAGTTTTCCGAATACCATTCTTATTATAGAAATTTTTGAATTCCTCATTTTGAAATTCTCTTCCATGATCGCATCTTATTGATTCAATACTAGTTTCTTTTTCGTTTTGGATAACTTTGGTTAATTTTACAAAGGCGGCAGACACATCTCTTTTATGAGATAAGAATTATGTCTAGGTATATTGAGAGTAGTCATACACAATTACTAGAGTGTAAATGTTTCTGCTTAAGCTTACATTTCTTGATGGGCCAAAAAGATCTATATGAAGCAGTTGTAAGGGCCGATCTATAGAAACCAAATTCTTAGGTTTAAAAAGAAGTCCTTACTTGCTTTCCTTTTTGGAAAGCATCACATAGTTTGTTTTTCTGAAAACGTAAGTTTGACAAACCATTTACAAGCTCTTTTTGGACCAATTTATTTAAATGGTTCATATTTATGTGTGCTACTCTCCTATACCATAGTCAAGATTCACCTTTGTTACTAAGGAGACATACATCACTTGAAGAAATATTCCTCGTAAATTTGCTTTGTCAGTTTTCTTAGAGTTACCCCTATCAAATGTCTGCTTTAGCTGACTATTGA